GGGGGGGGCTCAGGCAAGAAGATGGTAAAATTTGAGGCCAGCCTGGGCAATTTAGCAAGACCCTGTCTCGAAATTAAAACCTTTAAAAGGAGGGGGATGCTGTAGTTCAGTGACAGAGCACCTGAGGTTCAATCCCCAGTATCACAACACATAAATACTATGAATAAAATTATAATTTTCTGCCCACTAGACTGGCAGTGATCAAGGCATGATATATTTTGTAGCTGAGGATGTGGGGGAATGCACATTCCCTTATAGAGCTGATAGATGTGTATATTAGTACAAGATCCTTGGAAGGTAACACAGTAGTGGCAACCTTAATATCCACTGAGGAACTGGATATAGAAATAAATATCCCTTGACCTATGGTGAGGTTTACATCTGATTAAACCCATAGTGAACTGAAAATATCACTAAGGCAAGCAACCTTAAATTCATCCGGACACAAAAACAACTCTTAAGATATATGTTGGATTGACAAATATTTTTTTTATTTCACAAAAAAATAGAATTATTTTAAATATTACATTTCTCCTAGTACATTAAAAATAGCATTTGTTTCCTACACATATTTTCAACATGATTTTTCAAAAACATACCCACTGCATAAACGTTGGAAATGTGGCAGAAATACACACTTAATACTTTTTTTATAAAATAGGACAAGTATTGTTTTTGAAGTGCTTCTGTAGACATTGCACATGTTTCTCCCTACAAATGAGGCAGGGAGAATGAGCAGGTGCTCTTACTTACAAAGAAATTGAGGTCCCAGAATTTAAATGACTTCCATAGCAGCAGAATCAGACATGAGATTATTTCTCTTTCTTCTTCATCCAGCCATAAATAACACAAAGAATAAAAGCTCCATTGAAAATACAAACATTAGTAGGATTGGTGGATACAGATGCTCAGCGGGCACTTAATAAATATCTGTGAATTGCAAGATCACCAAGAGGAAGTAGTAAGCTCAGAAAGTCCTTTGCCAAGTGCCTGGCAATGTAACATCTGAGACCTTGAGAGTAAGTCAAGAACTTCACTGTGACACAAGTTGAATACCTTTCAGGATATGGAAGTTCAAAGGTGGTTGTTGGCAAATGTGACTCACAGGTCTTAACTCTGGAAATCACTATCAGCATTGTAGAATTGCTCCATCAGTTGTCAAGGGCCGACAGCTGCTGGAGTGACAGCTTTTACTGGTACGGATATCGTCATGGTCTCCCCAGAACCACAAAATCACCCACATCCTGGGTCCATTTACCAGGCTTCTGCTTCAGTCTCTTCTGATACCTGGCTCTAACAAATCCCAGACAGGAAGAACACTTTGTAGATTTTTGTGACTGTAAAAGCTGAGGTCCCTTGTCCCTAACTCACTCTGGTAAAATGGAAGTTTCTTTCCCTTCCATATGGAAAGCTAATGTTGGTTTCTTGGCAGAACCTGGAGTCTGCCTCAGACCTTTTCCTTGATTGGACACTTTGTCTTTCCAATTGAGGACAAGGTTCCTCAGCTATGTTCCAGTCATCAAGGTCCAAAGAGCTCAGCACTGTCTAGTTGTTCCTCATTGTAGAGCAGGATGTTCTCCATCAGTTTCCGTTTGGCCTCATTGATCTCAACTTCCCATGAAGTCTCTGTAGCTATAGTTCAATGGAAAATAAAAAAGAGCAACCTGAACAAAAGTTATAATTCTTTGAAAGGGCACAGTCTCCCTTAAATTAGGTTTTTCAATCAGGCCTCAGATAACAAGCATGTTTATGCAAGGAAGTCCACCTTTCCAGACAGGAGGGGGCTCCCATGCTCCTCTCCACAGTGGAAAGAGGTTTAGAGTCCACAACACTACAGCCTCTCTCTCCCTGCTGGGAGGAGCAGCAGTAGGAGTGGTCTGAGCCTAGATATTTATTGAGCCATATCAAGGGGACCAGAACACTTCATAGAAAAGATCTTCCTAATTTTTATTTCAGAAGGAAGCCTGGATGTGACAGGAATGGAAGGTTTCTTAGAAATGACTGATGAGTATGAAGAGGTAGGCTGGGAAAGGCCACACCCGGCCCTTGATGGTCTGGAGAAAGAGTTCAGACTTGGTCTCTGAGATGGGGACTTTAAACAAGGGTGTGTCATGAGCACTTTGTTTTTAAAAACCACTACAGGGCTGGCATGGTGTTGTAATTGGAGCATCTCTGGAGGCTGAGACAGGAGGATTGCAAGTTTAAGGCCAGATTCAGCAACATAGTAGGGCCTTAAGAAACTTAATGAGAATTTGTCTCCAAATAAAAAAACAAAGAGGAAGGGATGTAACTCACTGGAAAAGCACCCCTGGATTCAATTCCCTAATACCAAAACACAACAACAACAACAACAACAAACATTCTAGGGCTGGGGGTATAGCTCAGTGGAACACTTGCCTGGCATATGTGAGGCCCTGGGTTCCACCTGACACCAGAGAAATACGTACATACATATATAAATATAGAAACCACTCTAGTTGGCTTCCAGAGAAAGAACTGGTAAAGGAGGGACTGGAGTGAGTAAAGCAGGATGCAGGGAAGCTGTGCAGTCATCCCACATGAAGGACAGAAGTTTAGCCTGTGGATAAGGAGAGGCAGAGATGGAGACAGAGAGGTTCAGGAAGAGAGGGAAATGTCAAGGATAACTCCTAAAATTGACATATGCTATTGATTTAATTAAATAACATTTACATATTCTCCAAAAAAAAAAAAAAAAGGATAACTCCTGGGTTTCTCATTGTGCAACTGGCTGGTGGGTGAATGAATAGATAACTAAAGAAAGGAGTGAAAGGGGCAATAGAGGAAGAAATGATGGGTAGAAGTTAGGGACACACCAAGGAGGGTGCAAAAGTCCTTGGAGGATCTTCCCTGCTTACCATTCTCGGGAGACCGTGGGCCAGTGCAGGCCTCAGAGGAGTCTGCCTCCACTCCTCTGGTGTCCTGTAGCCTTTCTTCTCCGTTCTCTGCAGGGACAGGTGAGGCCCTCACAGAGGAGGGGGCATCAAGGCTACCATCGTCCACATCATCTGTTTCCTCAGGAGTGTTGGAGGAAGCTCCTGTGCCCTCAGAGAACCCGCTCCAAGGCAGCGAGGTCTCCTGACTTCGGAACCACTCCTCCACCACAGCCACAGAGCCATGCGCCTTGGAGCGGAGGGAGAAGAGCACTTGTCAAGAACCCTTTCTAAAATCGAAAGCCAAAACCTTGTCACCCAGGCCTCGGGAGACACACACTAAACCATGAAATGGCTGTTGTTTTATTGGAAGAACAGCATCCTGCCTTTGAAAAGATCTGAACTTGACTCCTGGCCCCATAGCCATAAAGGAGAGACAGCACACGAGCCCAAACGGGCCCATCATAGAACCCCATTCCTCTGGCCACGTGAGTGGTCCAGGCGTCAGCACATGACCCAAGAGAGACAACTGGAATCCTTCCTTAGGATTTTCCCATCTTGAGCTGGAAAGAGTGCCCTTTGCTTTCTAGTGGAACCATACTCCCCACCAAACACAGGAAATCCATTTGCAGAACCCCAAGGCAAGAGATGGAGACAGGGCCAGAGACATAGACACATGACAGTGACTCACCAGGGGGTCTAACTGTCCTGAAAGCAGAGCAAGGCTGGCCCTCTCTGCTGTTTGGTCAAATGAACCACTAAATTCGTTAATTCCACTTTTGCACACACACATGCTTGTGTGCGTGCATGCACACACACACACACCAAAGGCATACATGAAGACCTTTGTTTTTTCCCCAGGAGGTGTACACCAAGCCATGCAGTCCTATAATAATAGTAACAAATCA